TAATAGGAGAAAAAGAGGAACACAAACAATATTGGCTGAGGGAAAAAAATGGTAAAAATTTCATCTTTGTGTGCTAATTGGTCAGTTTCAAAGTGTGTTGGGGGAGTTGGAAATGAGGCTTTTGATAAACAAATCTAGGTGAGTGTCGAAGGAGATAACTTGAATGTAGAACTTTCAGGTTTCAAAACCCAGCATAAGGTACTTGACTACTCTCCCTAAATTCATGCAGTTAAGTTTTTGTCTTTTGGGTTAGGAAGCTGATTTGTGTGGATAAATTAAGCTGATTGTTTGGATTTTTCTTTGGCTATGAGTGCAAGGATTTGGTAGATGTGGAGATGTGTGTTGCTAAATGTAGTTACTTCTGGGGAGACAATGGGTACCACATGTCTACCCTCAGCCTGCAGCATGAAAGTCCAGAACAGTTGTTTTATCGTATCAAAACAATCTCGTAGTCAAAGAATGTTTTGGGCTTGCATTTATTTACTATAGATATTTTTGTTTATCTGATAAGTTTTCCTTTTGTTTCCAGAGTGTAATTGCGGTTCACTCTTCAGACCAACAAACTCACCCCTTCAATTCTGATACTGAAAATGCATCAATTAACTCCAAGGTAAATATACTCCACAAGTTGAAAGCGAGTATTTTTCCATGCAAATTTGATATCATTAGTATTTGACATAATCTTCAGAGTTTTGAGAATTTGTTTCTCTTTTTCAGGGGGTGAATGGATTTGAACACAGCAATGGATACAATGGCAAATCACTTTCACATCACCGGCAGCTAGGTATGTGATTTCATTTAACAATCATTACCAGGGGTCTCATTAACTTTTTGCAGTATACTGCTGATAGTGTAGAAGGTGGCTGAGCTAGGAAAAGGGGCTGTAAGGTGAAACCCTAACTTAAAACACCTGCTGGCAGGCAACACAGGGTTTTCCTGGAAAACTAGGAAAGTCCTTGAGATTTATTTTGACATCTTCTAGGACTGAAAAGTCCGGGAAATCTGCCTAACTCAAGCAGTAAAGTTTTAGGAATTAATGTGATAAGAAATGTATCTAGTACCTCTTATAACTACTTTAAGTTGTTTGGAATTCTTGAAAATTCTTCAGGTAAGAGGATTGCTCAACTAATTTGAAAATATATTTTACCTGTCATGCCCACAATAACAGAGAACACTGAACCTAGAGATTGATACAGTTTTTATTTTATTTAAGAGCACTTTTCTTTTTTTAATTTCTTTCTTCTGATCTTTGGGACATAGTGTTAGGGTATGTCTGATTTTTACAATTTTCTCTTAAACAGTTATGTAATATAATGTAAACATTTTTTTAATCTATTAGAGAGTAATGAGAGAGTTCAAGCATCAGGAATCAGCACCAAAGTGTTGTATTTTACAGAGAAAAGTGTCACTCCTTTCCTTACATCAATACCTAGAAGGTTAGTCATATGTTCAACTTTGTTATTCTTGATGGATTTTAGGAATTTAAGTAAATTGTGAGAAATTGCCAATTACATGTTTGTATTAAAAATAAATTGAAAATTTAAACTTAATCAAGGAACAGTTGGTAAAACTGAAATTATCTTTCAGTATGATAGGTTAACAAATTCATGCTTTGTCATCATTTGCATCAATTAGATGTGTTCTTTTTCTCAAGAGGTTCTGTGACATCAGTTTCCCTAGAAATTTTGTTTCTTTTCAGACTCGGAGAAATAACTTTAGGAGACTTCAAGGAAGCCATTGACAGACCTGGAATGTTCCGTTATCACTTTAAAGCCTTAGATCCTGAGTTTGGAACAGTTAAAGAAGAGGTATGTAAAGGGTTATTAATACTATGATCCAAAGGTGGGATAACTGACCAAAGTTTGTGATATATTTGCAGTATGAAGCTAGCACGAAGGGGGTTAGTTTCTAAAAAAACTGTGGTGCTATGTCAGAGGGGTATTACAAGTTAATTTGGTTATTATCAACTGAGTTCATAATGTATTACTTAATAATCCAAAAAGCTGATGTTTTGTGGGTTAGCTTCATTTTGAGTGTTTACTCAAGGCTCAGGTTAACATTCAAAATGTCAGCCTTAGAAAGTCTTCACAGTGGCCAATTTACATAAATTTATTAACTCAATTGATGACCCCAAATTGTCATGAAGCTGGCATAGTCTATCTTGCAGCCATAACTGGGGCTTGCTGATTGTCATGTGAAGAAAAATTAAAGACCAGCAGCACTTTATAGACAGTAGATGCCTTAAACTTATGGCAACCAGATACAGGGTGTGGTTATGTAATACTGGAATAAATTCATAAATTTCACCTTAACCTCCACTTCTTCCTCTGTGGCAGGTGATAGATGATGGAGACATAGTACCAGGTTGGGAAGGAAAAATTGTTGGCTGGGTTGAGGATGATACAGGACAAAAAGCTCTTTCTGGCTACCAAGACCAAATGACATGACACAACAATGCATTGAAGAAGACTAGATTAACTGTTATTAATAATATTGTGTACATCAATTTCAAATATGATTAGGACTGACCTTCAGCTGAGTTCCTGAAGCTGTCAACTTTAAAGTGTATCTGTAAATTGTAGCTTTGTTATACTTTCAGTGCAACTATTTGCTAATTAAGCATTGTAAGTTGAAAAGTGAGCCCTAAAGATGGGCCCTTTTCTGCATGAGCTCTGCCATAGAGGTTGAAACTGAACCCTTTCTCTTATTTAAGAATTCCTTGTTTGGCTCTTTTTCTGTCAGTCATATTAAGTGCCTTATTGATGTACTGGTAAATGTACAGACCTCATAAAGAAGGAAATTGTACCTACTTCTTTCATAAAACAGTAAAAAATGTTTATGGCTCATATTAGTTGACAAATGAATATATTTAGTGATTGTCCATAAATGGCAGATATTTTGTCTACACGAAATACTCCAGTATTGTGTGATGACTTTAAAATAATTATTGAATTTGCTTATTGTTTGGGTGAAAAGCTTGGCTTTTACAGGGTACAGATATGAATGTGCTACAACAACTCAGTCATCAGATGGGAGATTATATTGTTATTATGAATAGTTATCTGTAGATATCACTTCAAATATGCATACATGTGAAAGAGGTGTAAAGAAATCATGATATTTTTTATTTCAAGTTTGACCGGAACATGTACACATCTGCACTTAAATTTAATCCAAAGCCTTTCTGTGGGGAAGTTGTGGTATTGAAGTTTTAGATCTAGCCTACTCCAGGCATTCAGTTAGTGAAACAGAGCAAAATAGCATAATGGTAACGGAGGAGTGAAAAAGTGAGTGGGGTTTGGGTCAAGTTGGGTAAAGAATGTGACCGGACCCAGACCTCCCTCTCCTTTTCACTCATCTGCCATCATACTATACTACTGTTTACTGTTACACTTTGTTTTACCAAATGAATATTTGGAACAGGCTATTTCAGATCCGGTTAGAGTAAAAGAAATTAAAGTTTGGCCTTGCAGATGGAGAATTACAATTAAGCAATGTTGTTTCTTTTGCATAGTGGCACAATATTACTAGTTGTAGCAAAGTTTGAATTGTAGCGATTTGATGTTTAGATAAGCTTCTCACAAAAAATATGTAAATATTTATTGTCTAAAGGAAATACAGAGGATGTAAAAACAAGTGTAGTTGGGATTACCCTGTTTATACCCTTAACCCTTTACACCCTAAGATCAGTATCGAAGTTCCCTATACTGTTCTCCAAACATTTCTAAGGGTACAGACAAGGAGAATTTGTCTTACAATCAAGAGCTCATTGAGTTTCTTGATCATTTCCTTTATTCCCATGACCTCTATGTTTGATTTAGGGGTAATACTGTTGGGAGAAATTAGAAGTTTATCGCTCTTAGAAATGAAACGACCTGAAGACAAATTAAAATGAAATCATTCAGCTGAATTTTTAAGTTATGGGGAGGCATCTGTGTGATGTAAAAGTTTGAAGTGTTTGATATAAAAGGTCTAGCTTTTCAGAAATTGTTATGTTGGATTAGCCAAACATTAAGTTAAACACACTAACTAGTAAGTGTACGTTTAAGTAATACTCTGCTTAAAACCATCTTCAATTTAAACTTTGAGTATGCCCACTTTTCCAATGTAATCCTATGATAAATTTAACAGAAAAAGTAGAAAATGTCTTCTGTTCACAACAAACGTATTCCAATTACACATTCCAACTGTTTAGTGAGCTAATCAGGCCCCAAAATGCAAAACAAGTTTTACAAATTAATAAATTAAGACAATTAAAACCATTAGAGTATTAAAATTAAATAAACTTTTTTTTTGTTATAAGTAACCTTTACAGTGACCAACATTCCCAGTAAAAGACCATACAGTTGTCAAACCAAGAAATCAAGAAAGTTTAACCATGAATTGGAATTCATTGATTGCTATGCCATAATTAATGTTCGACCTGGTTTTCATATGGCTTCAATCATGCAAAGAACAGGAGGCCAGTGAGTCAGCTTTCATTGCAACAGCAGACAAGCTGCCAGGTTGCAGGAGAAAAGCAGGTGAGGGGCCTGGAACAAATTTATTAGCTTGCAAGCCAATCTCTTGTAGCTTGGTAACTTATAACCCAGTGCCAATGAGAGCCATTGATTTGCCTAACATACCCCCAAGGGGATCAGTAATCCCGATCCAGAGCATCCTATTTGAAATACAGGCAGACTTGACAGGTGTATTTTAGCACCCCTGCTCCCTTCGCAAAGGAAACTGGCACTTTATTGCCTAGAGACATGCAGGGTGCACCAACTGTAAGGGAAACAAACTGTAAGAGAATGGGAAAACCTTCCTCTTGTATCTGCTCAAATATCTTGCATGTTTGAACAAAAGTCACTCTGCCAGTATCTCATAGCCTGCTTTGCTTGCTGAGCAAAAAGAGAGATTGCAAATTTGCCAAGTTGTTATTTATAAATGTTTCCTTTATCCTATCTGAATGGTCAGTAAGGGATCTGGTCCTACTGTAAAGGAAAATTCTGAGTCATTGATTCTTTGAAAATTCCAAGCTTGGCTTTATAAATACATTTACAAAACACACTTTCAAGTGTTAACACTTCAATATACACAACTAACAATATTATTTTACACTGATTTATCTATTGTAAAAGATAAAATTATAATTAATTTGTATCCCAAAAGCATTGTCGCCTTTCCCCAACATAAAAGTCAAATTCATAGCATTTTCCACAAGTTTTGATTCCACAACGGTATTCTGTTAGTTGTCCATTGTCATCTTCCCCCTGGCAGAGTTTCAAGTGACAGGGATACCAACTTAGACATACTTCAACTCTACAGATGCACTCTGCACTCAGTTCTGGTGTATTTTTACATGGCTTTAGCACCTTTGAAAAGCCAGTTTGATCTTGTGATGCCAACTCAAGTTTATCAAGATCTTCTCGGGTTGAATTTCCTATTCAAAGATAATGATAATAGTTTAAGTGAGTATCCTACCAGTATGGGGTTGTAAAAGAAAAGAAAAGAAAATTGTGAGCCTACCTTTTAGTTCAGTTTTGTGCAACTAGTAGATTCAAACTTAAAAAAAATTTGATTGCATGCAAGATAATTTGCTTTTAACCCTTCAACTCCCATGAGTGACCAAGACAGAATTTCTCCCTACAATATCAATACAATATCAACCAGATAAGTGATGAGAATTAAGAAAAATATCAATTTGGGGATAATTAGTTGATCCAATACTAAATTCTCTGAACTAACATTATAAGAATTGTATGGTTGACTGTAAAGAGAATCACAAATTTGACCTGGGAGTTATAGGGTTAACGAATGAGTTGATAATATAAATTGGCCATCACAAACAGTTTCAAAAGTTGAAGTTTCAAGCATTAATCCTTTGTCAGAATGAATGGGAAAGACTCTGGTGAAGGGCGTAAGCTCAACACATCAGCTTTAGAAACTCTTTGCAAAGGCCAATTTACTTAAAAACCAAATTGTCCTGCCTAACCCCCTTTATTAACTATCACATAATAAAAATCTAAAGTTCATTACCTAATTGGTAAATAGATAATTTTTCTGTTAAATAACCATTCACCCTTACAGATCAGATTCATTTAGAAAGTCCCACTTCTAGCTGTGTTTCACTTCCTCTGTAAATTATTCTCATGGAGTTTTGTGGAATATGAAAAAATTGTATTCTACCTCAAAAGTTAGCCTTTTCTGCATTATTCTGTACTGATAGTTTGAAGAGAAGTTTAACATCAATTACTTCTGGGCAAACAAGGAGCTCTTAAAATTAGTTTTCCTACATGTATAGCCCATACTACACTGAAACGAGGTTCAAGAAATATGTCATGAGCTTATGACAAGAGCAAACTTGAACCTTACACCACATACCTAATAACAGAAGTTTTGTGTTAGTTCCACTAAAGAGCACTCTTCCAGCATCTTTGCAGAGCCGATCGATGGTTCCTTCTGTTACATTTGCATTCAGAAAAACCACATGATCCATGATGTGAGATTCACTGGCAACATCCTCTTCAGGAACCCTGATTGTACTTGGGTTTTTCTTAAAAAAAAAATTCAAAGTGAAGTTTTAAATAAAAAAAATGGCACTTATTAGGGCTTGGATGGCAGTCAACCTATCCAGTCAGTTCTTACACATTTCAGTAGCATTAAAAACAGCATGGATTGTTCCTAATTTCCCAGCCATACTTAAGTCCATTGTGATGTTACCCTCCCTAAAAGTTTCCCAAAAGTCATTTTTACTCTCAGGAGAAGAAAGGCACTGAGAGAGAAGTATTTTTCAAGGGTAAATGCCTGGCTGCTACACACAGACTTTAACAGACCAGTAAATACCCAATAAGTATTAAAATTCCAATGATTACAAATCTCATTTACTATTCAAGAAAACCTAAACAATTTTTGGAATCATGTAACACTTCAGATAAATGTCTGATTCTTTCAAGGTTTGAGAGAACCTTTCTGAAGAGAGTCAGTGAAAATAGCCCTTTACACCTTAACATCAGTATGCACATTCTCTACAATGTTCTCTATACATTTCTTAAGGGGCTGACAAGGAGAACTGGTTTAATGATCAAGAGCTTCTCAAATTGATGATCATTTCTTGTATTCTCATGACCTTGATGTGTGATTAGGGGTCAAATACTGTGAGGAGATATTAGAAGCTAGTCACTCCAATGGAAAAGGGGTTAAAATCATGCTGCTGTATCCTAACCACAGTTTAAGTGCTATGCCAAGGACCAAAACTCAGAGACCTGGCTGCTGCCTAAAACCAGAAGTTCCAAGGCAGAGATCAGTGCACCAGCCAATACTTTAGGCCCCTTTATCTTCCATATATCATGTATGTATTCTAGCTGCAACAATACAGCCAGGACAAACTAACCCCTGAGTCATGGAATGCAATGATTTTTCAGGAACTGACCTGTCTAAGTTTTGACATAGCATCTGATGATATGAATTCTTCTTCTTTGAGTTCAGCTACAAAGCACATGGCTTCATAAGAACTCTCTGCTTTATCCATTTCTCCAAGGACAATAACTTGAAATATCTTTCGTTTCTATGAGAAAAATAATTTCAAAAATATGAACAGTATTCACGTGGTTGAGACAGTCTAATTTTATTTGTTGAAGTTTCTTTCTTCCTTTTTTGGAGAAATCAGTAAGACATGCTCTACATGCTCCCTGTAAAGATGTCTACAATGTCTCCATGGATATTATAAATTCAGGTAAGAATTCACAAAACTATTATGTCAATTAACAAAAGAACTCTCCAAACTGAAAAATACCCAAACGATTATCTTTCCTCTCATTAACTTAAGTCTAAAATCTCAAGAGCACACAAAATGGAAATCACAGCCATCGGCAGATTGGTTTGAAGCAATTCGACAATTTTCAGTCCCACTAAAGTCAATAAACTTTACGAACCTATAAACGTTTCATGCCGAAAGAACAGATCGGAAAGAAAGAGACCCCTAAATATGCTTTATGAATCGTTGTGTACAACACAGTAGAAATGATTTTAAAAACTCTATCAGTCTTTGATTCTAATGGACAATGATATTGTATATAGAGCTTAAAAAAATATCTTTAAAAGGGAAGCTTTGACACATACCTGACGGAAGTCGATGTACACTGAAACGAATCTATTCTCGTTACTTTTGTAATCGATGGTAACGAAGTCTTTTTCGGGATCTGCGGAAAAAGTCTGCTGCACTATCTCACCATCCTTTGATTTAATGTTAACAACTAGAGTAAAACTACCGTTTTGGACCAGAAATGCAGGAAAAAGAAGAAACGACAGCCAAAAGTGTGTGATCGCCATTAGGGAGAAATCGCGCAAGCATTGATGACAGAAGAGTGGGACGAGTTCAATATTTCTTCCTCTCAGCACAGGAATACCACTTTCTTGCAATTGCAGGAATACCAATCTCGAAATCATCCAATCTGACGGTCGCTTCATTGTTCAGCAAGAAAATGAAAACCAGCTTGAATTTGGAAGCTGACAAATTCAGACAAAGTAGAAATAAGGTGAGATTTCAAGCTCATAATGGAGACTGGGAAATTCACCTTGTACCTGGGAGACTGCCGGATAATATGTAAGGGTTGACATACTTGCGCTTGATTCTATTAGGTATTCCAGTCAGTTTGCATCTCCCGGACTCCACCTCTCTAGCTCGGGTATCCGCAGTTCTACCGCCCTTCCCAATCTTTACCATGAAATGCATGTCTTTCTATCATGACTTTAACTATTTACTGCAGGGATTGTACAGCTAACTCTTAGCAGATATTGCGAAACGCTTTCATGTTTCCTGTTGTTTCGCACATTCCAACTCTGCATATGTACTTGAAAAAGCCAACAACAAGTTTACCAATGAAGCAATTAGAAGAGGAAATGAATAGCCAATGGAATTCTGTTGCTCTTTATTAATCATTTTGTCCTCATTTTTTGCTCTTAGTTTTTTATTCTATTCAAACTTTAATCAACGTTTGTTTGTTTGTTTGTTTTTGTCCTGTTTATATTTTTGTTTGTTCTGTCCGAACTTTTTCTAGCTTGTTTAGGCGTTTTGTTAGCTAAATGGAGCGAAATAATAAACGGTGGCAGTGGCAGAGCGGAAACGAGGGAGGTTTTCACTCCTCCGCTCCACTATAACTGAACCCCTGGAGCAAGATGTACTTTTTAAGTCCCTCTTATTCATTAAGACTATACTAGGGAGATTAAGAAAAGTTCCATTTGAACTGAAAAGCGAAAAAAAAAAAAAAAAACCAACGGAAAACTAGAAGCACCACTTCCCTCTGTTAAAACAGAAACACAAATGCAAAATCACTTGCCATAATGGGCTCCTGCTTGCGCTAACTAAGCATATCTTTAAATATATTCATATATGATACGTAATTGTACATTCCTGCATAAATGATTAGGATTTATTTTTGTGACGGGAGTGTTTTGATTCTTTCTGTCCGACCAATCCTTTCACCTTGACCTGTCTGCTATTTTTGGTATCTGTTGTGGTCATTGGTCAATGTCACAATTAAGAATATTCCCAAACGCCCTCGGGGCAAGAGACACTCTGAAAAATGAAAACCTACCCAAATTCTTTTTTTTCCTACTTTTTGTTTTTCTCTTCAAAAACAGACATTAAATTTGAAAATAGCAACAATACTGATGAATATACCAAACTATAATCACTGGTGTTGTTTTTATGAAGTTAGCGTGACTTCCGGTCACTGGAACATGCGATCGAGGTACCTCACCAGGAAAGCAACCGATCGGCCGCCCATTGAGAACTACGTACTTGTTATAGTGGCGAGAGAAAATCGTCGCAGTCGCTCGATCTTGATATAATGGAACAAAACGAGGCTCTAGCAGCTAACGAATTAGGAGACCACGTTGGAGATGTCGAAGGTAAACAAATCGAGACGTTACTTTCTTCTCGGTTTTGACGCCTATTTGTCAGTAACGAAGTTAGATCGGTCGATCGTCCCTTTCGATGTAAATTATTTTTAGATTTAACGTCTGGAATCACATGTTTTTATTCAAATTCATATTCTGTGCTCTTCAAAATTACCACGAAAGGCACTGGGAAATTTCTACCGATACGGCGAATTGGTATGAGCGATAAAAATCAAAAATATTATTGGAATCGATCGAGATTTTTTCTGAAGTTGAAAAAATTTAAGGTTAAATTTAAATGCTCTGAATCTATCCTCTCCTCTTGCGTCTCTGACGAAAATTATTCGTTAAATTTGAGTTGAAAACGCAAATTTATTGAAAAGGAATTAACCGTGAACCGGTTACATTTGCCAGCGCTGCTTGCTCACTTAGGTTATTCATCAAGACCGGGTTAAATTCAAGATTTTTCCTTCGGCAAAGCGATGGATCTTTGTCGTCAAATTTCATGCTTCCTACAGAATTCGTAAAATTCTTTCATTAATAATACGTCTTAGTGACGCTATTTGAGCTATCGTTCCCTAATTCTAATGACATCAAATTTTATCGAAAGAATTATTCTTTTCTTGTCTAAACTCCCTTGGGAAGGGCGATTGTTTTTTTTTCTTTCGCTCAACAAGTTACATGTACCGTGAAGAAGTCAAACACACATCTTGACCCACTATTCTCCTAAAATTAAATGTTATTTTCACAAGGGTGTCTCAGGGGTAAGTTAAATAATTGCGATCTGTTTGGCTTAAGTATTAAGATAAACTCTCTCAATCTGGCATGTAAGATGTTTACCCGTACATTTCGTGTTATGGACTGTTATTGACATATCTGCTTGAATGGCTACGCCAATAAGATCATTCGTTGGAAGTTCTTGACCGATTTAAACCAATTGCAGCTTGCGTTACATGATAATTTAATAAAATGGCTGACAACCGCGCAGCAGAGGATGGTAGTGAACCAGTCCAAACCGAACGTCCAAATTCTCTCGGATTTCCGATGAAATCCAACGAAACTCCCGGGACTTCTCGCTCAAACGAACATGTTTTTTCTCCAGATTCGGCCAGGCGGCATCGATTTTTCTCTGGGCCTTCAAAGTTTGCCGCAGTTGTCGGGCAGGTCGTCGCAGCGAAGAACCACGATGTTTTCCAAACTTTGCAAGAGACATTAGGGGTCCTTCAAGATGAGGCGGAAGTATCAAGGGATTCACACAAAAAAGAGGGCCTTTGGTGTCATCCATTTGAAATTCCTCGCCATCCCATTGAGCAGATTGAAATGAAAAATGAAGAAATTGACTTGGAAAGACAACAGTCAAAGATGATAGAGAGCTTAACTCCAGATGATTTCTCAGAGATAGAGGAAGCCTTGAAGAAAGATAAAGACGATGAGCTAGGTTATGGTGCAGAGCGACTTCCTTTTTATCAAAGGCTGTCTATTTCCGGCGGAGATATAAGCGGGGTATGTAAATATATTTGGACAGTGCACCTGCATGTAGTCTACCAGCTCTAGCCGTAGTTGAGTAACTTTCGGTTCCTAAAGATTTCTACAAATGCCACGAAATAACCGTGGTGAAAGGATATTATGTGGATATTTTAGGGAGGAATTGCATGTTAATCACTCATGGGAGTCAAAGGATTAACTTGCAGTGCTCTAGCTTCTCGAGGAGTACTTTCCCAACAGCTTCCAACTCATGAATCAGCAATAAAATTTGTTTTGTTTCAGGTGTCCATTGATGAGCTGCAGCAGGCTGCCAAGCTCCTAGTAGAGGCCTTGTTCATCAGATCAAAGTATATGGCCATGAGCATGCAAAGCTTTTGTTCCACAACTGCTCGGAAACTGAAGACTGTGCATGAAGATTTTGATACAGAGGCTCAGTACTTTCACTTAAAGAGACATTCCATTGATGACGATTTAGGTAGGTACTCCCCCAGCCTGGAATGCAAGGTTCCCTCTAGCATTTCGTTAACTTAAAGTTTATTCATAGTCTGCTAGTACCCGTATATACTCAAGAGTGTTAGGAGACACTGAGAGAATTATCTGTGTTCTGGCCAATTAATGGTTAACCCTTCAACTCCCAAGATCTGATTGTTAATTCTCCATTCTAGCTGTTGAACTTTTTTCCAGTAAATTAGTTTCAAGAACTTGGTATTGAATCAAGATGACAACGTGTACATGACAATTTTAAGTTTTCATATTACATTTTTTATAGACAATGTATGGAGACTATAGGGAGAAGTTACATGTTGATCACTTCTGGTAGCCAGTGTTTGTTTCATAAATTGTTTGCTGTTACTCGGTGTTTAGAATTAGGCATGATATTAGAGCTTAAGAAATGACATTGAAATGCCATAAGATACATCTGGTGTTTCCTTTTATCCGACTAAATTTATTCTCAAATTTTTTTCTAAGACACCTGCCTTCTACAGCCATTTTCAATTCAGTCACCATTTGACATTGAGGTACCTGGTGACTGTGGGTATATCTTTGAGATGATTGATGGTGTCTACCATATCACAGCTTGTAAAAGAGACGTCACCAGTGATTTTACTGTCAGTGACTCAGCCCAACCAGTAACACACCCTGCTCCAAATCTCCAGGAATTTTTTGAAGATCAAAACATTCTCCTGGCTCTATCAACTCATGGACCTATGTAAGTAGCTCATTATGAGCAAACCATATATATTTTGTTCTTTTATTCCAGAGGTGATCAGCATCTAATTTCTCCTTGTTAGATCAATTTAATATCAATCAAAAAGGTTATGGTCTGGAATAAATACATCTATCAACTAGAGGGTTTTCACACTTGTTAATCATCAAATTCTCCTAAGAAATTTATGGGAAAATGCGCAATAACCAGAAGAGAGAATTGCAAGGTTCTGTAAACAGTTATTAAGCCAGGAATTTTTTTGTAGTCAGAAAGCAGACATTACAGTCTGATTTTAGAAGGGGGAGGATGGAGAAAGAAAGATTCTTGTCTCTAGGAATGTTTTGGCCTGAAAAAATGTTTGATACAATTATGATCACTCAGACGCTACATTAATTTACTCTGGCTGTATTATATTTTTGTGTTTTCTTAGAAAGTCATTTGCGCACCGACGTTTGAAGTACCTAGATTCTCGACACAGTCTTCATTCCCTGCTAAATGAGAACAGGGAACTAGCAGCTATGAAGGATGTTCCACATAGGGACTTTTACAATGTTAGAAAGGTTTGTCAAGTTCTTTGATCTTGCATGTTCTTGTGTGCTAATGTGTAGCTATGTATTGGATTAACTTTCTTGTTGGTCAAGGTTTTATTTATGACAGTATGTAGCTTGAACTGGGAAGTAGCTCATCGGAGTTTGACAATGATCTCTGCAAAGGTTGAAACAAGATGATGTGGTACCATAGAAAGTGAAATTGG